ATTTTGCAATTAATTCTTTTGGAAATTTTATAATCAATTAAAAATATAATGAAATAATAAACCGTAAGACAATAAAGGTTTTTTGTTTATAAACATAGAACATGCTTACACAAAGGAAAACTGTTTTTTATAGAAGACAAAAGGTATATCATGATGAGGTGCCTGTATTCAATGTTATTCTAGGAATATAAACTTTGATCTTTTTTCCGTTATTATTTCTGCTTCTATATTAAACTTAAATAATTTTGTTATTTTTAATCTTGTGCCTCTACAGAGACCGTCTGATACACTTACACTTCTTATTAACATTGCTTTATCATTTACTTTCAATTTTTATTCGTGTGGTGGAAGACCTTCTCTGATATTACTTAAAAATAATATTGGAAAATTAATATTTATGTTGTCATATGTTTTATCAACTCCTTTTTGAGTCACGTATTCTGCTGTTGTGAACTAATTATCAGCCTGCATTGATAAATACACGAGTAATGTCGTTATTTTGTCTACTCAATCTGTTAGTGGGGGGTTGGCACGTGGAGCGCGCAGGGGGGCGAAGCCTTACTAGTATATGTATCTCCCTATATTATATAGTTGTGTTAACGAAAGTGAGTCTCAGCTCCTCCCCGCTCTCCCTCAACTCCCGCTCGATTCACATAATTATTTGCTTGTTTCAACGTCATTTTTCATTAAATTATATCTGGGTTACCTCTTATCACTCCCCCTGCTCCCTCTCCAGCACCCCCTCTACCACCCCCCTAAAAAATACTTATTTATTGAATGTTTTACCATCATGAATGTTAAAAAATATATGTAATTTAGTACCCAAGTCATACCTCGTTTTTAGGATTTTCTTAGTCACTGATCATAGGTCTCCCTCTGTCTATTCGCTCCCCCTTACTTACCATTTATCTCTGAAGTACCATTATTTGTTTAGTTTAATTGAACTTTTAAATTTCAAATATCTTTCTGGTCCATGTGTACTTTACCCAAATATAAAATTCTTGATTACCTGAGGACTTTATTTACAAAAAGACAGAATTCAGAAGAAGGTATAATTAAATAGACACTATTAAGCTATTAAAACAATAATTCATTCTGTTAGCTTAATGTTGTGACATTTTATGTTTCGTTTTAACCCATCTGTTTTTTTAAAACCATTTCCACATTTTTCACATATTTGTTTTTCATGGTTTTTGTGAATTAACATATGTCTGTTTAAATGTGACGATCTTCGAAGTTACGTATTTTTGAATTACTGGAAATTTACTTGCTGAAAAAGATTTTTAATTCCTGGTTTATTCTCGCATTCAATTTGAATGAATTTTTTTTTTGATTCCTACGTCTTAATAAAGCAGCGTATAGTTGTCTGTAAGAGAATAAAGGTTTTTTAATATACAATCCTAAGGAATCGAATCTTTGTCTTTGTGATTTGTTGATAAACATAAAACATGCTAATACAAAGGGACACTGTTTGTTATAGAAGACAAAAGGTAATGATGATGAGGTGCCAGTATTCAATGTCATTCTAGGAATATAAACTTTGCTTTCTTCATTTTTCCGTTATTATTTCTACTTCTATATTATACTTAAATAATTTTGTTCTTTTTAATCTTCTGCCATTACAAAGATCGTCTGATATACTTAAATTTCTTATCAACATTACTGCACCATTGATTTTTAATTTTAATTCGTGTGGTGGAAGACCTTCTCTGATATTATTTAAAAATTCTATTGGAAAATTAATATTTATGTTATTACATGTTTTATCAACTCCTTTGTGAGTCACGTATTCTGCTGTTGTGAACTAATTATCAGCCTGCATTGATAAATACACGAGTAATGTCGTTATTTGTCTACTCAATCTGTTAGTGGGGGGTTGGTGCGCGGACCACGCAGGGGGGCTACTCGTATATATATATATATATATAAATTTTTCGTAGGTTGCATTTCACTGCTGTGATTGATGCTGGTGGTGGATC